GTATGAGTGTGACCTTTTCTTACAAGACATGAGCTTAAGTGACAGTTTCATAATAGTACAAGGACTTAGTTGATCCTTTTCCTTGTTAATTCGTCCGAGTTTATAGATGCTGGGGAGTAATGAACCTGAATATTCCAGTTCGATTTGAATATTTAAAACCAGAACATTAAAAACAAAAACTCGGATCAATAACCTTCTTAGGATCGGGTTAGGGTTAATGGATCTCATATTCGGTTTTTTCAAGCCCTAACAATCTTGTTCACTTTTTTGTCGCAATTTATACCATGCAACCGGTACACCGTGCACAAGGTGTACCGGCCACTGAACCACATCGTATTTTTTGAAAAAAAAAAACCTAATAAGTTTGCGGCAATGAACAGGGGCGCTCATCAACAGCGGCCTCAAAGACGGATTGGTCAGAAATGAAGGTGAAGTGGACAGAGAAGGAAGCTGCATCCATGGCAGCCTGCCACAGAGCTTGACCACCACCAATTCGAGGACGATTTGGCCGGCCGCCGGCGCCAATGGAGACCCCTATCCCCTACAGGATTGCGACCTACGTTGCCTGGAACCACTTCCTCTTTCCCCTTTCTTTTTTTCTATGTTAATGAATGAATCAAACCTTATAGTTCCAGAAGTTACATCTCCTTGCTCCCAAGTTACATTTGAATAGGCTAAAGTTATATTCACAAATTACATCAGATTTGTTCCCAAGTTACATTTGAATCGAAGCAGTTTACATTTCAATGAGTTACATTTGAATGAGTGTAATTTACATCTTGATAAACTTGAAGTTACATGTGGATTCACACGAGTTACATTTCATATAGGCATGAGAGCATAATGCTCACCATGCTCCGGTTGCACGGGATACGAACTGCTTTTTTGTACACATTTGTTGCACACACATTCGAGTTGCCTGTGTACACAGCCAGCTCGTTCAGTGCCTATATCATACATCCGGGTGTATGTACATCCGGCCCAACTAAGAAACACAACCCAATAACTAATACAAGCAAAAAAAATCGGTGACATTTTTGTAATTTAAGCGAAAAATCACGCCTTCCGCTAAATGAGCAATAATGTACTTTTAGTGAGCATCTGATCTATTTTATTGAGTATTAGGAGGCTAATAATGAGTACCACGATCTCTGTTTCAGATCTTCTAATTCGTTTTCTTTTTCTTATTTTTTCTTTTATAAAAACTTATTAAATTATATCTATAATTCACTCCTATTAATTTCAATATGCGAGTCTAATGTAATATGATAATTTTGAAATATGCATTGATATGACTAGGGGTGGGCACGGTCCGGGACGGGACGGTAATTGGGTTGTCCCAGTACTGAACCCGGTTCATTATAACAGTTCGGAACGGGACGGGACAAGATGTTGTCCTTTTGTTGTCCCATTTAAATCGGTACCGAGGCAAGACGGGACGGTTCAGGACATCCCAAAAAACTTTAGTTAAATAATTGCAATCCCAAAAATAAAGTAAATCTATTTGGGAAAGAAAAAAACCCAGCGCAAAAAAACTCTATGACAAAATGACCTAATCTAGAAAATGGTGAGAAAAAATGCAACTAACCAGATAAATGATAAAAGTTGTAGCAAAAAAAACTCTTAGACAAAAAACTATCAAGAAGTCCGTAAAAGAACTGATAAAAGAATACTATAAGAAGTGAAGTCTTTGGGAGTAAAAATCATTTTCTTTTTTGTAGATAAATGATAGTTCATGCGGAGTATTTCATACTAGGTAGTTTAATTTTTTTAGGTGTTATGTTGTTAAACAACTAATATTTTAATAATCATTGGTATTTGAGTTGTGAAGAAGGAAAACTATTATTAAAAAGGATAATTATTATTTGGTGTAAATATAAAAGGATAATTATTAGTATTTTTTGTAACTATTACTAAAAAGGATAACTATTATGTAGTATTATTTGGATTACATAATGAGGTATTGACATATTCATTAATCAACAAAGTACAATTTTGGATTCAGGACAATGAGACGGAACGAGATATATTTTACTTGTCCCTGACCCATTTTGTTTTGAAACGGTTCAGGACCGTGGCCGGTACAAGACAAAAATAATGTGTCCCATAACGGGGCAATTTCGGAACGGAACCGGAACATTCTGGAACGGACCAATGGGACCGGGTCTTTTGCCCACCCCTAGATATGACATTTTAAAAATGAGCATAACATCAGTACCAAATGAGCATACATAACTTACAAGGGAAAAGGTGCAAATAGGCCCATGTACTAACCAAAAAAGGTCAAATAAGCCCTTATTCAGGAGGCTCTGTCCGGCCGTCGCCATTTGAGATGGTTCCCGGTGGAATTTTTTGGTGAAATATTTTGAGCATCGTATTCATTAACTCTAGTTTACTCATACCAAATTTCAGTAAAAACTTCAATCGGGAAGGCATTCAAATGAATTCTTGAAAATAACTGCGCAGTTAGAAGCACAATTATCTTCAAGAATTCATTTGAATGCCTTCCCGATTGAAGTTTTAGCTGAAATTTGGTATGAGTAAACTAGACTTGATGAATAAGATGCTCAAAAAATTTTATCAAAAAATTCCCCCGGGAACTACCCCAAATGACAACGGCTGGACAGAGCCTCCTAAATAAGGGCTTATTTGACCTTTTTTTATTAGTACATGAGCCTATTTGCCCCTTTTCCCTAACTTACAAAGTGCACATTGATATGAAAATCGTAAGTTTTGTTAGTTTGACATCACGACATTTTAATTGAGCATCAAACCTCTGTCATTGAGATGAAAATCACGATTTCTGGTGAATGAGCATTAATGAACTTTTAATAAACATCAGACCTATTATGTTGAGTATCAGGAGTCTAATATTCGGAACCGTGGTGTCTACTTCATAACCTCTAATTCACTTTCTTTTTGTTATTTTTTCTATTATAAAAACTTATTAAATTATATCTATAGTCAACTCCTATGAAACTTTCATTGAGCATCAAACCTCCTCTATTGAGATCGATGAAAATCACGATTTCTGTTAAATGAGCATTTATAAATTTTTAATGAGCATCAGATCTATACAAATGAGCATATGTAACTTACAAGATGAACATTGATATGAAAATTGTACGTTTTGTTCGTTGATCATCAAGATATTTTCAGTGAGCATCAAACCTCCATTATTGAGTATTAGAATTGTGCGATTGAGTATCATGATTTGTGGTCTCGTATCTATAATCAACTTTTATGTGAATCTAATGTAATATGAGACTTTTGAAATATGCATTGATATAACATTTTAAAATGAGCATAACAGAGGTACTAAAACTCATTTCTAATGTGCTCAATATTAGTATATAAAGCTGAAAATTCAATTAATTGAATCATTAAAGCTGTGAGTTAAAAGGGAAAAAGGAAAAAAATTGTAGGCTCTGAAAAACACAATAGTTGTGGATGATATTTTTAGCAACAGAAGAAGAGGTATTTTGGAGCTCAGGTGTGTGGCGTAGTAGAGGAAATCGAGTTATCCAGAGCTCCGATGTTTGGCGTAACAGAGTAGTCAGGTTATCTAGAGCTGCTGCAGAGTCCGTCGATGAGCGATGAAGATGATCGGCACAACGCTATGCCGATGACTGAATGAGGAAGATGATCGATGTGACTTATGCGGGTGATCGAGCTAAGAAGGTGATGATAATCCAAAGTTTAGGGATGAGATAATGATTAATTAAAAGATTTAAAGTTGATAAATATTACAAAAAAACGGGTGTACATAACACTCGGGTGTACAATATAAATTGCGCAACTCGTTACGAAGCTCATATGTACACAATAATTAGACAGTGTGTAGAACAAAAGTGTACAAAAAAGTGTAGAAGTAGTATGACTCAATAATGTTAGATTCTTCTTATTGTACACACTTTAATACTCGTTTTATACCCACCATGTCTGTGGCAAGTTTTTTTGTCTGTGAATCCGATTCACAGACAAAATAATTTGCATAGACATGTTTTGTCTGTGACCGGGATTCACAGACAAAAAAAACTTCTCACAAATATGGTGGGTACAAAAATAGGTATAAGAGTCGGCAGAAACAGTTTTAGGGAAAAGGTACAAATATACCCCTGTAGTATGGGTGTGGGAACATATATACCCCTGTTCTTTTTTTCGGAACAAATATACCCCTGAACTTTTAAAAAGGTGCAAAAATATCCCTCATGTTCTTATAAAGGGGCAACTTAATCTTTATTGACTTTAAATTAATAAAATAAATTTCAAAAAACACCAAATATAAATTATAAATTCAAAATTAAAAAACTAAAAATTTAAAAATGTAATGGTGTCCGATTCTCCCTTTTATAGTTTATATATCACAATTTAATATTGCTTAAGTATGAAATATTATTTCAAAATGTTACTATATGTTTAAGATTCTTTCGAAAAGGTGCTAACATATGTTTCGCAATGTAAAGAATTAATTTTTTTTTTTTTTTGCATTCTTTGCACTATAAATTACATATTTTGAAATAATATTTTATACTAAAAATATTAAATTGTGATATAAAAAGGGAGAATTGGACACAATTATATTTTTATTTTTTTTTTTAAATTTCGAGTTTTTAATTTATTTTTGGTCTTTTTTGAAATTTATTTTGTTAATGTAAAGTCAATAAGGATTAATGATGTTTTTACTTGGACTGTAATTTGCTGGTCTGGTCTGGTCTGATCTGGTCTGGTCTGGTCTGAACTGGTCTGGTCTGGTAAAGTCTGGTTTCTTTGTATTTTTATAACTATCCAAGTCTGGTCTGGTCTGGTCTGGTCTGGTCTGGTCTGGTCTGGGACAAATTACAGTCCAAGTAAAAACATCCTAATTTGTTCCTTTATAAAAACATGAGGATATTTTTGTACCTTTTTAAAAATATGAGGGGTATATTTGTTCTGAAAATAGTACAGGAGTATATTTGTTCCTCCACCTATACTACAAGGGTATATATGTACCTTTGTGCATTCTTGCCTTCCTCAAATTGAACATATTACCTACTACGGAGTAGATTCTAATATGGGGAGAACCAAAGATCTTGATGATGATTTGACCTCCGGCCCGACTTGGAAGAGGTTGGAATGGTAGACCGAAGGTCCAGAACTTTAATTCATCCGTTAATTACGGAGTATTATTACATATATAATTTTAATTTATCTAATTACTGTAATCCGTAACTACTTTACATACACCTATTTCTCAACGCCTCACACGCTTTTCCTTCCTCGTCTTCTCCGTTGACTCGGTGCCGGCGCCCTTGCCGGAGAATAATAAGGAGGATTGGAACATTCAGTATATAAGCCTGAGCAATCCTGATCAGTCTTTTCTTTCTGACAACTAAGTAAGTATTCTTACACTGTAACGCTACACCAATTTATCTTTCCTACTTTTAATGGGCGATTTCAATATAAAGTTCCTCACCTCTGCTTTCCTGTCGCGGTTGGTTTGACTATTTTTTCTTTTCCTCGCGTGATTTATCGATCTTGAGGCTCTCCACTTTAGAAATTCCCTCCCATATCATTTCTTCCCCGATACTCCCGCTGATTGCTCTTACTTGTATTTCCATCTTTGATCTTCAAAGTTATGTGTTGAATATGGATTCGTAGTTTGGTGAATTAGATTTTGATACTTATTTGTTATATTGGTGGAAGACTCAGAGGCTGAAGCTGAAATTCTACGAAATTTGATGTATTCAATTGTTGAAAAAGATAAGAGTATGTCTGAAAACCCAGATGAGCTGAATATGCCTGGAAATCCAGATGGGCTGAATATCAAATTTCGATTGATCGATGGAACAGACATAGGGCCTACAAAATTCCCCTTGACTGCCAAAGTTGAAGAGTTGAAGGCAGCTCTTCTTGCTCAATTGCCTCAAGGTTGGTCAAGTGTTGCTTGAATGTCTCATTGTAGAGTGTGGTTTGTTCTAGAAAATAGATGTTTTCCTATCTTTAAGGCTTACAAGAGATGTGTGTGCAGGCTTGAAACCTTACAGTCTGTTTGGGCGCTAGAATTAAAGCTCAGTTTCAGTTCTGAATTCTAATTCAAGCTTCCAAGCAGATTGTTATGTGTATTCATATTTGTTTCCTTGCTTTAACAGTTTCAATTCCATCAGTTTAATTGAATGTTTTTTATATCTCCACACTTGCACACTCTCTTTTCGATGAGTGTATTTGGATCAGGGGGAGTAGTGGGGGGTGGGTATTATCAAATTCTTTACTAAATGAGTTTAGTAAATTGTATGAAGTGCCAGAATTAATATATAAAAGAAAATGCTTCTGAGAAGATATTAAAATATGTGTCCTTTTGTCAAATTTTCTTGTTCTCCTTCCACTTTGAACACAATTTTCCTTGTTCACCTTCCATTTGGAACACAATTTGGAGGGATGAATTGGGAGGAGGGGGCGGTGTGCAAACATAGACAATTCTTTTGTTCCTTGGTGAGAGAAAGCATGTTTCCATGTACTCTTTAATATGTGTCATTTGTTTGGACAACACTTCTTTTTTGTGTTGCTATACTTTTGAGCTGCTGAAACTGTGTGAATATTTACGGTAATTTACAAGAATGGATTGTGATGAAATAAGCTGAGTTTCCATATTTACAAGTTCAGTTTTGGTTGTGACATGAAACATATAGTGTCAATTAGTTCTCCAAAATTTAGAAAAATGTGGCGATAAAGTCTAACTCAGATCTGAGGCCATTTCTTGTCACTGCCTTCTTAAAAAGGTATAACAAGGTGAGATTTCGAAACTGTCATCACCATAGGGGGTTTCTTTCCACTTTTATAAAAACACCATTAGACTACAAGTTTACAACAATTTAAGATGATATATTTATATCCCATTAGAAGATTGATTTTGTAAAATTAACATGCACATCATGGCATATAATAAGTGGTTATTGAATGTAAATTAGAAAACAATAGGCGGGGACTGTTGTACTCGAGATTGATCTTATTGAATTACATTCCTAATCAAGAAAAAGCTGAATTAAATAATATCATGGATTCATGGTTATATATTGTTTTGTGTTGTTCCATTATCCTTAATTTAAATGTGTGATTTTCCAGGACACTGTTGTTAGCTCATAAATTGTACACTCATTGATTTTTTACTTTGGTTGTTAAGGTTTGACATTGCATCTAACTTCCATGCCTTTACAGCAGAAATATACAATTAACACAAACATTTCTTTTGAACAGAGAAGCAAAATCGCCTAATAAAAGAAAATGAAGTCAAGTTGATAAGCGGAGGGAAAATTTTAGAAAACAGTAAAACAGTGGATGATTGCAAGAACCAATATGCAAGCTCTGAAGATGTCACAATGCATGTTGTTATTAACCAAATACCCCAGGATAAAGGTCAGTACAACTCCATGATGTGTAGATATGAATTAAAATATGTCAAACAGCTCTATTTTTTTTAAGTGCGATACTTTAAATACCTCTGTTATATCTTGTAATATTATAACCAAACTTATGTGAGTTGGAGGTATACACTCTCTTCATATTCTGGAATATGGAAGATGAGATTTGGATGCAGCTCTTATACCTAGAAAGGGTTGTAACTCTTCATCATCCATTTGGGTAGGAGTCAGACCTAATTTAATATTGATATTGAGTATGGTCCAATGGTGGTTTATGGAGTGTCGCTCAATTGATGGTTCAGACAGCCTGTTTGGAGTTGGTTTAGGCCCATTAGTCCACCTCTTCAGTTGTTCTAGCCCAATTTGTGGTGCATGGGGTGTGTGAGTATCCTGCATTGCTTGTTTGCTGGTCTTGAGTGTCGTATAAGTGTGATGTAAATCTCATCTCTTAATGATCACTTTGGGATTAGTTAAACACTTAAACCTAATTTAATAGTCTCTTACTACCTTGATGACTGCATAGTGATGCTTTCCCTTTCTCTCTTTTAATGTTTTTTTCTTTCTTTCAATTACTTTTTAAACAGAAGAGAAGGTAACAAAAGACCCAAAACAAAGCAGGTGTCGCTGTGTCATACTATGAACTACATCTCCAACTAGGTGACAAATTCTTCTGCAACTTGGTAGGATTTGTTTCCTCTTAATTGGAATATAAAGTTGGTAAGTTATAGCCTCATCTCGTAAGCGAATTGAGGACCTTGCTGATTAAGGACTGGTAGCAGCATAGAAGAAGCTGAGGACTTTATCTCCTAATGCAACTCAGCCCAAATGATTGCTAGTTTTGGGCTTTACTACTATTATTAAGGTCTATAATTCTCCCACTTTACAAGGCATGCGAGCAAATATTGTCGTGCCTTCCCTTCAAACAAATAATTTCAATGGTTAGGACATCTGATGTGTTTACAAATTTTGCCATCGAAGGTCAATTTATTTCTTCTTTTTATGTTTGCCTTTTCTTTCATTTACAGTGATTGTTTGTCGTCAAGAAGAAGAAACGGAAATGTTTTATTTTACAGTGTAATAACCAACCATGACAGCTTTGATGCTTGATGAATGTGTGTATACTTTGATCTTGTTCCTTCCAACTCAGCATTATCAGCTCATATTTCATAAGTCAAAACAGTAAAAAGACATAGACACCGAAAATCCGAGATAGCACCTGGTCACCTAGACGAGATTTTTACAGTAATGGTTTTGGGATTTTAAGGAGTGGGAAAGAGTGAGAATCTTCTGGGAAGATGATTAGCCTAATTGTGTGGTCTTCTTTTGTCTGACGAACAGGCCCGGTTCTGACATTTTATGGGCCCGGGACAATACAAATAGGCTGGGCCTCAAGGATAGCGCGGGAATGTTTATAATGTCCCTTTGCTATGAAAATCTACTAGTATAATTTAAAATTATACAATATTACCGTCAAAGTACTAGTATAACACATCAAAAAACGAACAAAGCCACACATGCTTAGAAAATATATATATATAGAGGGTATTGATAAGTGACATTTGATGATACAATGTACCTAACAGCCGAGTGAAACAAGTATTGCAACTATATATTAGGCACAATAAAATTTTTGAATTAAAGAAAGTTGTGAAAGTTATATCTTGTATAAGGAGTAACTTTATCATATTTTAAATCACATATTCACTAGACAAAAATAAATTCTAAGTTTCTAAATTATGGACACTAAAGTTCAATCTTTCACTAAAGAGAGAATTGAAGGAAATTTGTGAAATACATCAATGAATTCTGGATATACATAAGACATGTACACTAAGTCATTAAAAGATTAAATTTAATGTAATAATCCGTATTGATTCAAAAGAAACGGTGAAATATGTTCCCAACAAATTCTAATGTGGATGTTTCTAAATTATAGACTTGTATCGTGTAGATGGTAAATAACAAATTAGAAGTATATAAAAATATAATTTTGATTTTATTTTTTATTTTTTTATAGATTTAGGATGTATATATAATTAAAATATTTATGTACACATATATGTTTGAGAAATTTATGGGCCCTACTGGAGTAAAGGGCCATGGGCGCATGCCCCTCCTGCCCATGCCCTAGGACCGGCCCTGCTGACGAAGCTTGCTTGTGGTTAGACCAAGAATACTTCTTGAGATAGATAGAATATGTGCAAGTCCAGGAAAGCTTTAACATATACAGGCAAGAGATCACAAAGTGGGTTGGGGTTCTTCGCCCTTTTTGTATGGTTCGGCTTGCTCAGTATGTTGCTTGATGACTTGAATTGCTCTGGAATATCATGCCCAATCATACTTTGATCACTCCTAATATCAAATCAAATTTCATGTGAGACCGGTGAAGAAAAACCTATAACAAACAGAATGGAACCAAATTGAAACATAGTACGGAGTATTATTTTTAGTTGGCAATCATTCTTCTGATTCGTTTCAAACCAAAATGTACCAAAAAGTGATAAAACCTTATCAAAATCGATATGTACAACCCTATTTAAATCTAGGGGAGTGACGTTTTTTTAATCGTATCTAGTGAGTAACGTTGATAATGACTTTGAGGATTTTTCCAATTAAACATCTCTTCCTGCTTTGGGATAATTGTCTAATTCTGAATTCATTGATTGACTAAAATGAAAGCGTGTGGATACGACTTAGGATTAAGGTTGTAATTAGTGTGATAATATTTACCAGATTTTATCTATTCTAAAGAGAAGCACGCTCATCATTTTGGAGAAGAATATTTTTGATTTTGAAGTACTTTATGTGATTGTTTGGATAGAATAATATTTACCGCCGATCTTTCAAATAGGAGGTCACATAAGTATCATCACAATCAAGAATGACGACGGTTTTGGAAAAAAAATAAGGATGTATGCGAATGTTTGGATAGAATGATTGATAATTAACAAACTATTACGTGTAGTTTTTTGTTGAAGTTTTTTGAATGAATTAAAACATACTCTACCTCTATTTATATATACTAGTGCAATTATGTAGAGTGATTGTTTTCAACCGTTCAAAACAAAAGATAACGTTTTCAAATTAATTAAGATTAAGACTATTTCTTCACTTGTGTGTCATCCTTCCATTTGGACCACATTGATCTTCTCTAATGGGATCAAAACATACAAAGTGTAATTTCGATATTTAATTTAATGATCCAGCAACCTCATTATTTTAACCATGGTTTCACTGATAGCTCCTTGTTAATTTTTAGTGAACTAGTTAATCAGTTGAAATTACTGGGACAATTTTCAATAAGACTTATTTTTGTTATATGTTTGCAAGTTAGGATTATTTATGCCAATTTTGTCAATAAAAACTATTTCTTTATTGGTAGTAAGAGTAAACAATAATTTCCAAAAATATGAATACTCCATATATTTTTTAATTAAATAAGAGTACACAATATTTGATATTTAATTTTTTTGTCAATTATGATCATAATATTACAAAGTTAAACTACACCAAACTTTGATAGCTATAAAATACATTTAGATAAAAAATCAATCACACTAGATCGACCAGATCAATCTAAATCACACTAAACCAGATTAATCTAAATTAGACTACACAAAAAAAATAGTTCTATTAAAACATACTTTCAAGTGAAAAAGAATAGTAGTGAATTTCCCAAAATCGAAAGAAAAGAGATTGTTATACCGAAATAATTAAATTATCAAACATTTCTGACCGTTTATTCCGATTGTTAAATCCACCGATTTAAATTGCTAACATAATCTGTTATCGATAATTGACTAACATAATCTGCTATTTACTAAAAACAAATGACAAAGACAGTCTAGTACCGCAAATTATACCGTGGGATCGGCCCACCATGCGCATGATGTGCCGATCCAAAAACGGTACAGTTTCATATTGAAAATTGCAAATCATTTTATCTCCGTCTTCTCTGCCCCTTCAAACCCTTCATCGGTTGCTGTGCATATCTGCTGCGCATCTGCTCTGCATCGGATTTCCCATCTTATTTCCTCGCTCCTCTGTAATTTTTGTGCATCTGGGAGAGCCGAATCGGAATAGTAGGCTTAGTTACTCCACATCTTATTCCCTGCTCTGCTTCAAATTTGCCTTGGTCATCCAACATAACACAGAGCCTAAAATCTCAAATCCATTCATATATACACCCATCTTCCTTATTTAAATGCCTTTTGTTTGGGATTCGCACTCTATTCAGACGGTGTTCTTCCCATATACATACTATTGGATTCCCATACAATTGTTCTTCTCACAATTACATTTGATAATACATGAAATTACATCTTTTTGTGTGTAAGTTACATCTTAATGTGCATGAGTTACATCTTTTTTTACAAGCCAGTTACGTCTTTTGAAGCTCGAGTTACATTTATACGTGCCCCAACAAGTTATATTTTGTACACACCTAAGTTACATTTGACATCAACGTGAGTTACACTTGTAATAACGTGAGTTACATAAAAAAATCAACCCCTGGTATTGAAGCAAAAAATATGATTTTTTTTAAATTCTTTTGATGGTCATGATATTAAAAACAAAACATGTTCACCATTTACGTAAGGTAATTGTGCCATTAGGCTCTTTTTTTAATTATTTACATTGAAATCAATGTTTTATTTCTTGTACTCCGTAATATGTATTTGACAAGTTACATTTCGAATGGACTTGAGTTACATTGATCAATAACATGAATTATATATCTTTACACGCGAGTTACATCATTCATGCCAGTGAGTCAAAAAGAAAAAAAAAATTACTCTTCACACGTTTTTTTTAAATTGTGCAAAAAGTACGTAGTTTCAGATGTGGAGCAAGGTGCTCAAGACCTCTGTTAGTTTATTCGCGTATAATTCGCGTATAATACACTCGAACGTATAATTCACATATAATACTCCCGTTTATGAATTTTTCAAAATTTTTTGAAAAATTCACGTACTTTAAGGATAAAATGTATAATACACGTACCGTACGTATTGATACGTATTTTATTACGTATAATACTCTTGTTTATGAATTTTTCAGAAAATTCTGAAAAACTCACATACTTTAAGGATAAAACGTACAATACACGTACGGACGTAACTCTACGTATTGATACGTATTTTATTAAAAAAAACACCATTAAACGGAAACCTAATGGAGTGATACAACTGAAACAAAATGTCAAGCTAATCAATATTATTTATATTGCTTAAAAAAACGTTATGCCTTATACTCCGTATGTTCGCTAATTGTTTAACAGTCATTACATTCAATGATATGAATTAGCTTCTTAAATTCGTAATCTGTTTTGATATTTCTATTGTACTACTACTGTATTACTTTTGTTCTCCACCTATACCAAGACTCCAAAGAGATCGAAAAATGTTGTGACGGCTCACTAAACTCATGGTCAAAGTAATATCAACTATTTTAAAGTAATATCTCTCCACTTCTACTTAAATAGGCAATGCCATTTTTATTACGTATTGTACCTATGCATTTAAATCCGTAAATCTGAAAAAAAAAATCTGAAAAAAACTATTCCGTACATTTTAAATTGTTGAAGATTGTGGTGCAAATGTTAAATAACTCTTTATTTCTATCACTAAATAAGTATATAAGACACATATTATATGCCGTATTTTTAAATTGTGAAACGTTTAAAACGCGTCTGTATCTTTATATATTTCACGAACGTATGAAACATATATTAAGCCGTATTTTATATAATTGTATCGTATTATACATGAACGTACGTATTATTGTATTATTCACGTAACGTATATTACTAACAAAGCTAAAGACTAGTACTCATAGCAGCGGAGTTCACTCATGGGCCGTTCTAGACTTCTAGTACATCCTGGAATGCCCCAACAATTTACGTAGTACGCCCAGTATTTATCTATCCAAGTTCTAACTTCTAGCAACGTTTGAAACTCCCTGACAGTCTGAGACCACTTCCACCTTCCCTGATTTTTTTCCGGAATTCAAGATTCCCTTTCACTTGCCGGAGAAAGCCGCTATCAATGGCAACCACGACGTCGTTCGGCGGTGCCCAGTGCTACTTCCATCCCTCCAACAGAGCGCCTCCGTTTTGTTTTCAGCCGCCACTATCCGTTAACCTCTCG